TATAGATATAGATATAGATATAGATATAGATATAGATATAGATATAGATATAGATATAGATATAGATATAGATATAGATATAGATATAGATATAGATATAGATATAGATATAGATATAGATATAGATATAGACATAGATATAGATACAGATATAGATACAGATCTAGATATAGATACAGATCTAGATCTAGATCTAGATCTAGATCTAGATCTAGATCTAGATCTAGATCTAGATATAGATATAGATATTATACATATAGATAGATATATGCACTGCGGGCGAGGACAGCTCGCTTCCCGATGTCCCGACTCCCCGTGGATATATTACTTCCAGGGCCATGTAAAGGGGTCTGCCCACAGGCCTCGGAATTGGATGTGCTCGGCTTGTCATCCTCTGTCACATATGGCTGCCTATATCTACAACCTATTCCCTCTGACGCATTTCAACTCACGGAACATGCACCGCAATGGCCACAAAACGAGCTCAAAAAGTAGTGTCTCCTCGATGGTGGCCAACATAGGATCCTCTGCGGCAAAGAGGTTCTGCTGGCGGTACAAGGGCCAATCCCTGGAAAACACAGGGCAGCCAAGTCGGCAAACGTGTGCTTTGCAAATGTTGGTAAGGGTAAAAGCAAACAAGATGGCTGGTGCGCCCTGATAGATCGGGACTTCCAATTGGAGCTACCATTCAAAGCGCAGTTTGCTGGATCACCGCTTTGCTCAGTACCAACATCCGAGCCGCACGTCCATCACAGCGTAGGGCGCTTTCCGAGCTTCACTAGCCTGGGATGTTCGCTGCTGATTTGGGGTTGAAGTCCCTGCCCCGCTTGACAATTTGCTTGGAACGGATCGCCTGTGGCTCGGCACACGGGCCTGTTTCGAAAAGCTGCATTGGACCCACCAGAGCACCAAACGCGACGAGGAGCAGGCGAGTCCAGCACCTCAGTCCCGGACTCCACGGCAATACTCTAAGTTAACTGGAAATGGTTCTTCCCCAAAAGCGAAACAGCGAAAGTGTGGTCACACGATTGGATTCTTACGTTCAGAGTATGTCACGAAGCGACCCCGGCAAGCGCACCTGGCAGTGCCGCATCTCCGATTCGGGCTCGGTGGACATTTTCGAGTAAAATCACGTTCTTTCCAGAGTCATGCTCGGCCGCGCGCTAGATTCGCTAGATTCATCATAAATTCCATCACTTGGGTGTTCTTCAACTTGAAGAATCGCACTGAAACCGCAGTGCCTCGTGTATTTTGGTGTGTTGTTGGGTGGTAATCGTGCTCCGGTCCAGTCCCGTGATCGCACCATGGTTCCGGGCACACTTTGAGATCAGACATATGCTGCTGCCAGTGCAGTGTGTTGGGTGGTCTTTGGAGGCTCCGGTACGCTCTTTGGGCATGCACGGCCTGCAGCAAAATGGTATCTTCTTATGGGCTTCTCAACATCTAGTGCCAGCGCGCAGATCGTGACCTAGACCCTGAGCTCTGCTCGTACGCATGAGAACTGGAATGCCAAAGCAGCCATAAGCCATCGGCCTTCATCTTTATCCTTGACCCCCCCCCAGACCTCGAAACTGCAGGCTCCACACGCAAAGCCGTGCCTGCAACCTGGAGTCCAAGCTAAGCCAAACCAACTCAGACTAAGCCGAATTGAAATCGAACTCTCACAACTCGCAACCCTATGGAGTCCGATCTGACCCGAAGCTCCGTTACTCCTTTGCCTACACTGGACCTGCACCCTAACCCACTAAACACATAGGAATTGTTAAACACACGTGCGAGACTTAATGCATGTTCTTCTGGTCTTCCAGTTTGTAAGTCTGGAGCTTGCAGGCGTTGGATGCTTCCCAAAATCGAAACAAGTGTCCTTGCTGAAGACTACTCCTCCCCTTGCAACGAGCCTCCATACTCTGTATTTTTCAGGCCCCGTATAAGGATCGGATCAAACTCCAGGGACGGCATAATTCCCTACTGGGTAGAGACTACTGCGCGGCGCCACTTTAGGTCAATTTGTCACCGCCTCGGGTCATATCGTAATATCTTCGGGCAGCACGTAAGGTATGCCCTCAAAGCCAGACACCTATAAGAGAGCAAGAGTCGGTGCCAATGCGCGGCAACCCTCGAGCAGGGCGGTATCAAAAACAACTCCACAAACTCGTAACTCTTGACAAGACCTTCTCGAGCGATCCTTGCTCTGGTGCGTATGATGATCGATTCGTCAAACTTTCAAACCATCGCACCGTCGACGGGTCGAACTTTTAAGCTTTCCAGGTTCTAACGCACGACTTCGGAAGCCACAAACCTTCAAATCGAAAAGTGACCGCACCTCCGATTCCCCCACTCGACGTTGGTCAGTGATGGCGGTTTGGAGTTTGGGCATGCAGTCGCCCTAGTCTTTTCGTCCGTCGCCTGATCTGCTCGGTAGCTCGAGCCCCAGCCCTTCGTTTGTCACAGGTTAAAGGCTCGCTCTCTCGCATTCCGAAGTACTTGCAGCTTGCAGATGCTCAAGCTTAACACATTGAATTGAAAGATGGGGCTGCCATGTTGTAGACATGCAGGATTGGCACCTCCGTTTTGACGGCCCGCTCCACTCTAGACTGTGCGAGCAAATCCCGAGACTTCACAGTGAAAACTCGATGTTCAAACTCTCAAACCCTCAACTTCACAGGACCTGGCTTGAGACACCCTTCGTAAACCAAACTAAAGCGCTCGGAAGAGGCAGTCCAGACCACGCTCGACGGTGAAAAAGCGCTCGCCGGGAAGAGGCCTCGAACAAGCGCTCGGTTGTACACGCAGATTCTGTTCCTAAGGTGATATCCAACATACTACTCCGGAATACCTTCCTCCGCCACAAGCCGTCTGTCCCACTCGGTCCTTCGTTTGTGTCACGCACAAGGCCCGAGTCTGCGGCTTGATTCCGTGGTCTTCCACCATGCCAGTCTCGCCCCAACCTATCGCACTCTTGTCTGCAGCTTGCCATGCTTGCCTCGAGCCTTCGGTGCCGTCAGAAGACCAGCCTCCCCACTGAATGGAGGGCATGACCGCATCCACAAACGTGTTGCCTGAAAGCACAGCACAATGCTATGTGCAGCGAATACGGCAGAGCGGCTGGAGAGCAAGGTGCACCAGCACGAAACGCATGCTTGACGCTAGTTTGAGGACCAGGCCGGCAGCGTATGTGGACTGGCCCGGAACACCAAAGAGGCCCGATGAAGATGAGAAAGCGATCTGGGCAGATAGGACAAGCTCTTCACACACGGTACTACGGGGTCATGAGACGGAATGCTTGTCCCTCCAGGATGAATTGGAAATGGTGGCTGCGGGAGATGCATCATACGTGCCACTAGTCACCTCCCTGTTTGATGTTTCAATGCTGTGGCAGTTTGTCACTTTCCTGATGATACTGTCGAAAATTAGGAACTATTGCATTCGTTCCTGATGATACTCGGCTGCATAGGCTCTTCAGGGCTCGCCGAAAACGAAAGGACTGCTCTGGCTGTTCGCGTCTTCTCGCCTTCTTCGCGTGCGGATACTTGCTCCTGCAACGAAGCAGGGAGCTTGTAAATCACGCGCAGCCCGTGGCCAAAGCTCTTGTTTATTGGATGGAACTGGAAGCCTGACAGGTCAGAAACGGTCGCAGTCTTCGCTCACATCGCTCACCAGAGTTATAATTGTCCTGTCTTTGCCAATGCTAAACGATCGCTGGCAGTCCTCAAGTGGATTGCCCCACGGATCTTGGGGCGGAGAACCTGGCAGCAAACGGCACTGCCTACGTCACTCCGACCCTGGGCTCTGGTGTCCATGGAGGCCTTCAGAGCATCTGCATCCGTCAAATTGATGATAACGCCGTCCTGTCCCCCGCATTGGCTCTGACTTGCGCCTTGCATCTTCGCATGCCCCTATCACTCCATGTAGTGAAGTTGCGGGTCCTTGACAGCGCCGGCACAGTGGATCACCAAGTCGCACTGACTGGGTAGCTTGGAGACCTGTCGACACCCCGTGCCATGTCTGCCGTCTGTCAACGCATACTCATAGCGACGCTCTGCGTGCACCTACGTAGCCTTTCTCCAACCATGTCTCTGTCTCTGAGTAAGCTATCGCTTGCCCCAAAGTCGGGTCCTTTGAAAGCTAGTGTTGCAACTTCCTGATGCTTCCTGAGTGCACAGCAGCGGCTACTGGTAGGACAAATCTGATACAAGCAGAACGACATTCAGTCGACTTTCCCTCCACAAGCCCGAACACCTGCAATGCCCAGTTTTGCTTTAGCTCTGATGCGCCTCCTCCCAGCTTGCTACGTCACAGCAAATGACCTGGCTCTGCATACAGTCCAACCAGCAATCCATGGTGCTCTTGCTAGGGTCATGAAGATGACACGGATCGCTTATTTTATGACTGGAAAGCCTGCCGTCGCCGAGATGCGTGGGCTTCAAGCGGCCCCTCCAATCAAAATCCTATTGCCTGTTGGCTTCTAGACTGATTAGGGTCCTTCATTTTCCTAAAACCAATGTGTAAGCAGCTGCTCAGTACGGAAGTGGTTGATAAGTTACAGATGATGCGGAGAGAACCATTTTGAGACCCTGACTCATGACACCAATCCTTCAATCAACAGCCAGCATGGGCAAAGAACCTGCGATCGCCTCTCAAGCATCTGGTTTGAGGGTTGAGGTGCCCACCTCCACCGGCAGAAGGCCTGCAAGCTCCCGAACTCGATCCGCGGCACTACCTTGCAGAGCGTGTGAAAGCTGGCTGGGTTGCCTGAAGGTCTCTAGCTGTGGCATCGCAGGTAATGGGCGTACCCAGCACACAAAAGCCACAAAGCCTTGGGGAGCACGGCGCCCAACAAGAATCAAGGATTCGGTCCTGGACACATGCAAGACTTTCAGTGCTGTTGCCGTGGCGAACCTGGACCTGGAGCCCTCTTCACGGCATCCCCTCGGCTCGCCTCTTCGTGGCTGCCAGGCGCTGGGCCACGGCCAGGCCGAGACCCCTCAAACCGCCAGTGACCAGAGTGCACCGGGCCCTGACGAAGGCTAATCGCATGCGAAAAATTCAAGCCTTTCTCCAAGGCATTGAGACATATTGGGACACGGGCCACGGGTGCATATGACAGTTTTTTCCGGACGTCTCAGGACATCAGTCACTTCTCTGACGAAATGCTGGAGATTTAGAAAGACGTTTGATGAGACCCATCCAGGCATGGGCGGATGGGGTTTGGGTGAGCTGGGCAGCTTCGAAATAGGAACACTTGCACGGAATTGCAAGGGTGCCTTGGTGCATCGTCTGAGGCCAAGGGTGCCGTACAGCGCTGCAGTCGCGGGGCAAAGGTGCCTGCAGTGTCAAAGGGAGTGATGCGATGTCGAAGGAGGCTCTACTGAGGAGCTGCGTGGAATTTAGGTAAGTTAGGCCAATTGCAAATTAAGTATGAAGGACTTGTAGAGGGGTTACAAACGAGTTATGCATGGTATAAGTGACTTACAATTGGCCAACTTGAACGATAACTAATATAGTAACGTTAATTAAGTTGGAAGTAGTTGCAACTGGTTGTAGGATCTACATTTGTATATAACTTGACCGAAATTTTACACGCTTCTTTACATTTACAGATACATGTGAATATCCGTTTAGATAGCTTTCATTTATTTTCATTTATCGA